TGTTCCCAGGGATTAAAATATGATTTTAAATAGGATTAAAGGATTATATTGTGAAAAAAATAATTTAATATATATTATTATGATAAATTAAAAACCAGTAAGGAAAGTAGTAAAGTCGGACTGGGCCGACTGGGCCCTTCACCACTTTGGGTATATTTTACATATGTATCCTAACAGACGACGCGTTTTGTTATAAATCTATATCTGAACCGATTTCAGGGAAACTTGCCAGAGACTAATTTATATAACATCAGTACGTTGTGTCAATCGGCCTAGCTATGGATCTTTTCACGAAGCTTAGCCACATAATTCTAGACTTAATTCAGTACCCTATACCCAAATTCGTGCAAATCGAAAGATATATAGGGTCTTTGGTGCACCAATTACCTTAAATCGGATGAAAAAACATATGGGAGCTATATCTAAATCTGAACCGATTTTCACGAAACTTTGCACACATCATTCGTGACCTTATTCATTACGCTGTGCCAAATTTCGTGCAAATCAAAAGATTTCCTAAAATCGGGCGAAGCTATATATGGGAGCTATATTTAAATCTGAACCGAAACTTTGCACACATCATTCTACACTTAATTTAGTACGCTGTGCCAAATTTCGTGCAAATCGAAAGATATGTAGGGTCTTTGGTACACAATTAACCTTAAATCGGACGAAGATATATATGGGAACTATATCTAAATTTGAACCGATTTTCACGAAACTTGGCAAACATCATTCTAGACCTTATTCATTACGCTGTACCAAATTTCGTGCAAGTCAAAAGATTTCCAAGAACTTTATTGGACTATTTACCTAAAATCGGACGAAAATATATATGGGAGCTATATCTAAATTTGAACCGATTTTCTCAAAACTTTTCACACATCATTCTAGACTTAATTCAGTACACTATGCCAAAATTTGTGCAAATCAAAGGATTTACAGGGACTTTAGTGGACTATTTACCTAAAATCGGGCGAAGCTATATATGGGAGCTACACCTAAATCTGAACGGATTTCCACGAAACTTTGCACACATCATTCTAGACCTAATTTAGTACGATGTACCAAATTTCGTGCAAATCAAAAGATATATAGGGACTTTGGTACACCATTTACATTAAATCTGACGAAAATATATATAGGGGCAATATCAAATTTTGAACCGATTTTTCCCAATTTCAATAGGGTTCGTTCTTGGGCCAAATAAGTGACCTATGCCAAATTTATCCAATTCGGATCATAAATGCCACCTGTACTTTGTTTACAATTTAACATGGACAGACAGACGGACGGACAGACGGACATGCATAAATCGACTCAGAAAGTGATTCTATGCATATTCTCAAAAGGAACCATGTGTCTATCTCGTTTCCTTTTGCCTGTTACGAACATATGCACAAAGACATAATACCCTGTACCACAGTGTGGTGAAGGGTATAAAAATAGTGTTATTTAGATGCTGAACACCTGACTGCCTACACCAATCAGCTGATTGCATTTATATATCAGCTGATCCTATGAATTTCTAAATTGTATTTTTATTAATTATTTATTGCATTAATAAAACTTATCAACAATTTTTAAAGTTGGTTTATAATACATTACCTTATTTTCAATCATCCACAAAAAAATCATTTTTTTTATTTAAAAAAAATATAATTTAAAATTTATTTACAAATTTCAAAGAGCCTTCGTTAACTTATAAGCAATATTTAATAAATAATATATAGATATTTAACAATTATATAAATAACAAATATCCTATTTTTTCATTTTTAAGGTTAATGAAATAGAGAGAAAAATGAGAAAGACGTTGAAATTAAAATTAAGTTTATATCAATAAATTTATAATTTATATTTATGGTCTTTATTGTATTACTAAAAACAAATGTTATTATTTTATTTCATATCGTTATTAAATATATTTTTTATTTTATTCATAAACTGCTTGCCTGTAAGATAATAAACAAAAAAGAGTTGCTTAGCTGCTGAACAGCTGATAGCATGCACTAAACAGCTGATTGTATTTTTTGATAAATACAATCAGCTGATCCGATGTATATATCAGCTGATTCGAATCAACTCTAAATTGTTGTTTATTATTTTAAAGGGCTTATTAAAGCTAATAAATTTATAAAAGAGCGATTCTTAATTTTATTGTAGTAGAGTTCGAAAAAGAGGAAATTATTATTTTTTTTTTAAATTTAACCATTTGTTTTTAATTTTCTGCAACATAGTTCAACTATATTGTTGCCCGATTTTTTTTTATTATCCTACTGATTTTCGATTGATGGACAAAATATGATATTCAAATAAGATTTGATGATTTCTAATAATTATCATAGAGGGGGAGTGATTATATTAGGGGGAAACCGACTCTTTAAAATTTTCTTTAACTTTATCAGCTATTTTTATTTTTTTAGAAAAGATCGACCTGGATCCAAACTATGAGCATGGTTTACACAATTTTTTAAAAGTGGCTCAAAAAATTTCACTATATTTTACAGAGAAGTAAATAATTCGAAAATATGCTAAGGCTTCTTCCAATTTTCTGTTATAAGAGCTCGGCCTTTTAGGTTAAAATCTTGAGATATTTCGGTTATTTTTACTCTCCTATGTGGAAATTTTTAAAAAATTTATAAAAATCAAAATTCGACCTGGACGGGGGCCTCAGTCAGGTATTGTAAAAAAAAACATTTTAATAAGTTCTAAGTTGCATTGACTATTCTTAAACCCAAAATTACACCCAACTATGGGAAGTAGCGCAATAAATTTTCGTACTTATGAAAATGGTAAGACCGATTTGTAGAAATATGTAGGGATATTATTAGTCTCTAAGGTATGTAAAGTACTTAGATATTCAGATGTTAAGGTAATTGCACCCAATATATTTATATGGTTTACTAACCTAAACATTTGTGATTATGGTCAAAGATATGGTGGGAAAATAGCGTCCCAACTTCAGCAATATTTTTAAAAGTATCCCTCCATGCTGTCATTGTCGTATTGGCGTTATCGTGTTCTGCCCTAGCCTAGCAGTGTCTCTTCTGACGAAAAGCTAGTGATATAAATCCGATTTTAGAATTTTGAAAGTCGAACTCATGTAAAAGTTTATACCGGTTTTTTTTATTTCTATGACGACTTCTATCGACCATATTAATAGCCTTAAGATAATAGATAACTTTTGGAGAAATTATATTTTTTTAGCGTCTAAATAATAATCTCACTCGATTTTAGGTATTTTGAAAGCCCATCAAATGGTGAAGGGTATAAAAAGACCAACCCTGCCGAACCGATTGAAGTTTTTACGGTTTTTGAGTTTTGTAATGAAAACATTAATCGGGGTTTCTTTTTCGTTCTCAGATTAATAGCATCTAAGAGTATGTGCGACAAACAAAGTAGGTCAATGTGGCGCCCAACGCCTGTTGCTCTGAAAATACTTTAAAAACTATAAAAATTATCCAGGAAAATGGGCAAATCCCTAATTTAAAGATGACCAATGGTCAAGACTTCCTCACCTAAACAATATTTCTTTAGCGACAAAATTCAAAGTGGCGCCCAATGGAACAAAAATCCTTATTTGGGTATAGCTTCGTTTGGAAACGTGTGATCATCTTTTGACATTCATAGCTAAGTTTTTAAGTAGGAGCCTATAAGTAGGAGCCAAGCAAAAACTCAATTTAAAGCGGGCCTATTGTCAGCCCTTCCTTACCCAAATAATATTTTTAGCATTAAAATTCAAAGTGGAGCCCAGTGGGAAAAAATTCTTATTTGAGTAGAGCATCGGTTGGAAACAGAAGATCATTTTTTGTTGTTTATCACTATGTTTTCAAGTCAAAAGATATACTCTTTCGTCAGACCTATCTATTATTTTAAGGAAATACGCCAAAGTGGCACCCAACAGAAAAATTCAAAACAAAAAAGTCAAAATAATAAAGGAAGAAATTCAATTTAATGATGAATTTGAAGTTGGCGCCCAACGGAGAAAAAATAAAAATGTTCTTATTTCCACCTTTGAACAGAAATAGGGCATCTTTTGAAACAAAAGATCACCTTTTTTCAGTAATAAGCAAGTTTCCAATAGAAGTTTCTTCTTTAGCGAAAAATGTCAAAGTGGCGCCCAAATGAAGAAAAAATAAAATGATTTTTATTTCCATTTTTGAACGGGAAAAGGTCATTTGAACAGGAAATCATTTGGAATTATCGATTGTATCCTCATTCGGAATCCATGAGTGTGATTTAAAAATAATTTTATTTTTTTTTCAAAGTGGCGCCCAATATAAAACCTTAAAAAATATTTTGTTTTTTTAATCCCTTTGAACGGATTTTCTATTTTACATGCGATATGGCATCACTTTTTTATTCAAACCATCACATAGAATTTGAAAGTGGAGCTCAATAGTAAACAAATTTCTATTTCCACTTTTTAACGGAATTTGAACATGTTTTGATACGGAAAATCATCTGTTTTGCGTTTTTAGCCTAAAAACTTGGTTAACGGAGAATATCAATGTGGCGCCCAAAAATGTAGGGAAAATAAAAATATCCTTATTTCTATTCTTGGGCGCAAATTCAAAATCTATTCGTATGATTTAAAAATGAATTCATTTATTCCAAAGAGGCGCCCAATAGAAAAACTCTTCGGAAAGACTTTTCTGCTTTACATGCGATTTTAATCTATTTGAGAGCATAGTTTTAATACTCTCTCTTTTCCTTTCTTTCCTCAAATTTCGTTCCCCATCTATCTTCAAAAAAAGTCCTTCCTTTTCCCCCATAATGATCAAGTGAATCCGATTTTTTACTACTTAAAATGCAATGTATTAATGATAATGATGATTTATTTTGGTTATTTTTTAAATGATATGGCAACTCTGTTTTTTGCATTAACTATATTCTTAATTAAAACTAAAGCTTAACAAAAATTTTCACTGAGTGTTTTTTCTCTTTCGTAACTTCACTTAAAACCTAAACAAAAAACAAAAACAAAAAAACGTTCACTACTTATTTAAAAAAGCGTCTCTTTTTCTTCTTCTCTGGGGCTGGTGGCTGTTCCATTGAAACCTGGCGGCGTGGCAGTAATGGTGGTGGCTGGGCCTCAGCATCACTGGTTGCCAATTCATCTTGACTTTCTTGGGGAGAATTGGGGCGATTGTTATTCCTTAAAATCGATGTGAGAGGGCGTGGTGGTAACGGTGATGCACCTTCATCGGCGCCTTCATCGATTGTACCCAAACGTGAGCCATGTACCGAAGCCAAATCGGAGGGTGTCTTGGCTGTGGAATCCTCCTCACCCACTTCACTGGGCACACCCAAACCTATTGTGGCACCAATCTTGGCACTGGCATCCTTAAAGGTATCACTCAGTTTAATTTGGACCACATTGATGAACATAGAAGTCAACGCCAAACCGAATACCAAATAAATGATACTGCACATCATAAAAATCGGATGATCCGGCACCAAGTCACCAAAACCAATTGTTGACATCGAAATGAAGACAAAATAAAATGATTCCATATAGGTCCAATCTTCCCAAATGTGATAGACAAATGCGCCGACTAAAATATAACCAATCAGCAGGATGGAAGCCAACGAAATGGGTAAATTAAATTCATCATCCACAACTATGGTATCAGGATAGGGTGATGTCGGTGTCTCGGGGTGTGACGAACGATTTACATCGGATATTTGAGATTCGACATCACTCTCCGCAGCAATACCAAAAAATTGGCTTGGTCGGCGTATGGCAACGTCATACATCATCGATACACCATTCATGGCATCGCGCAACTGTTGCTGTTTACGTATTTTACGGCACGTACCCGTATAATACAGACGTCGCACATAACCCCAAACGAATTTAATGATACGTGTGAAGAGTTTACCAAAATCCGCCAAGAGTATCAAGAAAATTGGTATACCAATGATGGCATAGGCGATAGTCAACGACTGGCCCAATGTGGTTTTTGGTGTTATGTGGCCATAACCTGGAAAGAGAAAAAAGGAGGAGAGAGAAAGGGGTATATTAGTTAAAAATTCCGAAGTAAGGTATATTTGAAAATAGTTTATAGTGCCATCACAATTTTCAATGAGATTTTTTTAAATGGCGCCCAACAGTTACCAATTCCTTTTTTATTTAAGGACAGGTTTAATGGCACCCAACGGTAAAGACAAAGTACCAATTCCAATACCAATTTCTGTTTTTTTGCTTCAGTGTACCTCCGGTGGACCCATGGTATATATTTAAAGGCAAAACTTCATCTTAAAGAAGGTCTGTAGTCAAGCTAGCCTCATGGAAAAAATATTTACTTAGCGATGAATTTGAAAGTGGCGCCCAATGGATACACAAAATTAAATATGCCCATCAGAGCGGAATAAATCATCTTTTGAATTAGGTCATCTTTTGAATTGGAAGGTAGGCATGTTCCTAATAGAAGTCTCTTTTTTAGCGAATTATGTCAAAGTGGCGCCCAATGAAGAAAAAAATAAATTATTGTTATTTCCATTTTGAACGGAAAAGGGGCATAATTTGAGCAGATAATCATTTGAAATTATCAATTATATCCTCATTCCGAATCTGTGAGTACGATTTAAATATAATTTTCTTTTTTTCAGAGTGGCGCCCAATAGAGAAACTCCAATAAAATTATATTGCAACTCTTTTATACGCGTTTCTATTTTACTTGAATTTGAGAAAGTTTTTCAAATACTTGTTCCCCCTTTTCTCAGAGATTTTGTTCCTCATTTCTCCTCAGAATGTGAAATGGCGCCCAACTGTAGGGCCAAAGCAAACCAATTCTATAAAAATGTAGTTTTCCGTATACATTTCTTAAAAAAAGTATCCTGGCGCCACTAAGTGGGCCTCTATAATTTCCCAATGGAATTTAACGAAAAGAGGGAAATGGCGCCCAACGTAATTGTTGAAGTTTTTTTAAGTCATTTAAACGCATAACAGTGGGGATTCTATTAAATGGATCGTTCCGATTCGACCTCTCCAATGGATTTCCATGAAATTTGGAAAATAGAGATCATAAGCTGTGCTATTAACAAATGATCGACAGCGAAGAGAGGAAGCGGATATTGCAAAATTATGAAAAATAAGTGATCGTCTGATGTTGCCTCAGGATGCAGAGGAAAGAAGGTCGAAAAGAAGGCGTTTAATTCATAGCCTGAAATTGCAACGAGAAACTGAGGCAAGTCTTTCGGCAGCTCGGGCACTGCAGCAGCGGCGAAATCACCTCAGCGGATGCTATAAAGAATCTTCTACACAATTTCCATCCTCCTAAAATGAAATGATGGAGGAGCGATCGGCAAAGCAAATGTCGCCGATAAGGAGACACAAAAGTACCTTGGCCACAGAAAGTGTAAGGGGACCACCGCCTCAACCTCCGGTAAGAAAATCGGTTATTCGCAATAACTCCCTGTCACCGGTGAGGCAGACGTCTCATTTGCGTAAGACCTCCCACTCACCAAAGAAACAGACTTCGCGGAAAAATGCTCTCTCTCCAGTTAGGAATCAGCCGGTCAGTCGTAATAATTTTGTTTTTCTCCAGTAAGGCCGGCACGTCGTTCCAAGACACCGCAGCAATTTCCAAAGGGAATTTCATGAAAGGAGATAACTTTCGGGATTTTTTCTTAAAAGTCATTTAAACGCATTACAGTGGGGATTTTATGAAAATGTTTCGCTTAGATTCGACCTCTCTAAATCACCAATGGATTTCCATGAAATTTGGAGAATGGCGCCCAACGTACAATAAATTTAAACTTTCAGTTAGGTTAAATACAAAATTCAACTCTTGGTATAGGGACGTCTAGTGATTTTAATATTTGAAGCTCATGTATCACTTTAGAGGTATTTCAGTTATGGGGCCTTGAATAATTATCGAAAAAAGAGGAAAATGGCACCCAACGTAATTTTTGAAGGTTTTCTTAAAATTAATTTAAACACATTACAGTGGGGATTCTATTAAAAATGGAACGCTCAGATTCGACCTCTCTAAGTCACCAATGGATTTCCATGAAATTTGGAGAATGGCGCCCAACGTATAATAATTTTTAAATTTAACCTGTAAAGCATTTTAGTTAGGGCCGCCTTATGATTTTAATATTTGAAGCTCACGTATCACTTTGGAGCATTTCATTTATGGGACATTGGAAAATAAACCCTAAAGTTGGACTCCTTTAAGAACCAATTGAATTTTTTTCAAAAGATAGGCTAGTAACACTTTGTAGGTTAGGATACAAACAGAATTGGGTCCACTAATTAAATCTCTCTATAATCTTAATGAAATTTCGTGAAAAAGGAAAATGGCGCCCAACGTAAATGTTTGCCTTTTTGCCATAAGAGAGTTTGTAAGGGCATTACAGTGAGGACACATTTAGGGAATTTACAAAATTGACCCCACTAGTTGAATCCCTCTAAGTTCCCGATGGAATTTCACAAAAATAGTAAAATGGCGCCCAACGTATTTTTTCGATTTTTTTCATAAAAATGTTTGTAACATATTACAGCGAGGATACATACAAAATTGACATCTCAAATTCAACCTCGTGCATTCACCTATGGATTTTAGTGAAGTTTGGAGAATGGCGCCCAACGTATTATAATTTGTTTTCTCTTAAAAAGAGTGTTACACGTCTTTTTCAATTAGGGTAGATAGAAAATTTGCCCCTCAGATTAGAACTTAACCGTAAATTGAATTTTTTGAGGGACTACAATGGCGCCCAACGTTTTTGGTTACAAAAGGCTTGTAGAGTATCTATAAAAATTGACCAGCTAGTTGGGCAACTCTAAGTACTCAATGGAATTTCACTAAAAAGGGGAAGTGGGCCCTCGATGGAATTTCACAAAATAGTAAAATGGCGCCCAACGAAATTCTTTGAAATGTCCATAAAAATTTTTGTGACACATTACAGCGTGTCACAAATTCGACCTCCCAAATTCGACCTCGCTAAGTCACCGATGAATTTTCATGAAATTAGGAGAATGGCGCCCAACGTATAATTATTAATTGGCTCTTAGAAAAGATGTTACGAGGACTTTTTCATTTAAGGTGTACAAAAACATTGATCCCTCAGGTTAGACTTTAGTAATAAATTACATTTTATAAAAGTGATTAAAATGGCGCCCAACGTATAATTTTGCGATTTTGTCTAAAAAACATAATGAAGGTTAGAGTACCTACAAAAATTGAGCCCACCAGTTGGGCAGCAATAAGTTTTCAATGGAATTTGGTGCATTAAATGGAAATTTGTAAAAAGTAATAAAATGGCGCCCAACGTATAAATAACGTTTTTGATAACCAAAAGGCTTGTAACACAATGGACGTTAGGATACAATCCAAAAAGTCATATCACTACTAATTTAGCAATGAAATTTGATTCCGTAATGGAATTTTATGAAAAGGTATAAAATGGCGCCCAACATATGGTAATTTTGTTGGCTCTTAAAAAAGGTATTGCAATGCTATTTCAGTTAAGGTGTGCAGGGTAGATTTAAGTCATAAATGGAATTTTATGACAGGGAATAAAATGGCGCCCAACGTAAACTCAGCGTTTTTTGTTACTAAAAAAAAGCTTGCAAAACCATTAGTTGGACAACATTAAGTTCCCAATGGAATTTCGCGCCCAACGTACAATTGATGTTTTTATCTTTTGATTTTTTTTCTTGAACCTGAAAAATCTGAAAAGAATTTGTCTTTACCAATAGTTGTTATCACAGTCCAGCAATACAAAATACAATTGACAAAATTCCATGAACGTTGACCGGGAAAATAGCGTATACCCATGGCGCCCATGGTGTGCAATTCCTCTTCGAATTTGCGTAGCTTTTGGCGGGCCAACGTCTTCCAATCTTCCTCTCTGCAAAAAAGAAATTAAGTTTGTAATCTCCACAGATTCGATAAGGTCTTCTCCTTCTGCTTCATCTCACCTCATATTATGCGACACAGTCCAGAGATGATCAATAAAATCTCGCTTCACTTTCCTCACCTCACACTTATAGATATCTTCCGAAGTACCTTCTGTGTAACGAAACATTAAGCCACCAAAACCGATAAGCAGAATCAGGACAATGGTGTGAGCAAAACATTTATTTCGTAATTTTTTCATCTCTTTCAGTTCCTGAGGGTGATTGGCTTTCATAATTTTCCAGTGCTGACGGGCCTCAATGAGGAATATCTTGAGGAAGGCAAAGGAGAACAACTTGTCGGGTATTTCAGATTCCTTGGGAATCTCTGGTTGGGTGAGAAGCTTTTCTTCTTCCTTTGGAATTTCCTTGGCCGGTTGTGGTGCGGGGATTTCCGGTTTTGTTTTGCGGAACCATCCAAACATTCTACGCAGAAATGAGGGTTTGGCCACCACTCCTGCAGAAGTGGCGGTCTCTGAGGCTTCTTCTTTTGTGACCTCCTCCTTAGTGGTCTTCTTTTTCTCTGGTGTAGTTTTGATAACGACAACTTCGTGTTCCTTTGTGGAGAGTGACTTTTGCGGACCACTACCACTATCCACTTTGTCCTGAGACTCCAAACTTCCCCTCCTCCTCTCTAACTCAAGGCTATGTTTTCTTCGCGTCCCAACTTCCTGATGAGTTTCAGACTTCCTCGTTTTCCTTTGTCTCAGCTCATTTTCCATTTCCGTTGAAGTGGTCTCCTGCGCCGCTGCCGCCACTTCTCTTAAGCTGTGTTTCCTTTCCAGTTCCGCTCGCTGCTCCGGGGTTTTGGAACGACGTGCCGGCCTTACCGGAGACAAAGAATTATTACGACTGACCGGCTGATTCCTAACTGGTGAGAGAGAATTTTTCCTTGAAGCCGGTTTCATGGGTGACGCCTTACGCAAAGGTGAAGTCTGCCTCACCGGTGACAGGGAGTTATTGCGACTAACCGATTTTCTTGCCGGTGGTTGGGGCGGAGGTCCCCTAACACTTGCAGTGGCCAAGGCACTGTTGTGCCTCCTCACCGGTGACATTTGCTTTGTCGATCTCTCCTCCATAATTTCGTTTTCCGAGGAGGAGAATTGTGTTGAGGATTCTTCATAGCATCCGCTGTGGCGATTTCGTCTCTGCTGCAGTGCCCGAGCTGCGGGAAGACTTGCCTCTGTTCCTCGTTCCAATTTTAGGCTATGAATCAAACGCCTTCTCTCCTCCGCATCCTGAGGCAGCTTTAGACGATCACTTAGTTTGCGATAATTTTGCAATATCCGCTTCCTCTCTTCGCTGTCGATCATTTGTTTATAGCGCAGCTTATGATCTCTCTTCTCCAATTCGAAAATTCTCTTCTCCGATTCGAAACGTTTGCGTTCCTCCTCGAAACGTCGCAGATTTGCCTCCAGCCGTGATAAATTCTCATCAGCTGTTGATTGCACCGGCTGAGGTTGTCTCACCACCCTGGCCTCGGGAGACAGGGCTCTATCACTCGTCATCATTTCCGTTTCACTTGAATCGGCCAATTGTTTATTTCTAGGCATCGATAGACTTCTCTTAACGGTGCGTATCAATTCGGTGGCTTCTGGTTCCGATAACTTTTCAGCTTCCCTGGGCTGAGAATGAGATCTAGCCGAAGCGGTGGCAAAGGTTTTATCACGTCGCCGCAAAATTTTACTCTCATGTGCGGAGAGGGCTCGCTGTGGTGGTCGTATTTGCATGCTGACCAATTGTCCCCCGCCACCGTAACGTTCGCTACCATCCATCATGCTGCTTTCATCTTCCGATGAACGTTGCCGATGATGGCTGGGATCGGGGGTCTTTTCACGCATTGAACGACCCACACGACGTCTTCTCCGTACATGGGAAGAAGACGTTGAGGTTGAGGGTTCATCGCGGTATTCACGTTCCATTGTTAATTGGAGTTAATTCAAAAATTCCGAATGGTATCCTATCGAAGTTTTTGGTTTATCGGATTCACTGCAGTTTAATACTTGGGTCCATATCTCGTTTTTATTTCGTAATTTTTCAATACTGCCGCGGTGTGTCAGACGTTTTTTCTTTATTTTTTAAATTCATAAATGCCGTTATTTTCATTCAGTCGCACAAATTTGAAAGTCTTTAATGGGGTCTTGAAATAATTCTTCGTTCTACTTAAGGACCTACTAGGACCAACACATTTAAACAAATAAAAATTATGTTTACAGGCGTGGGTTTTTCAAAAATATTTTTTGCAGAGGTGGATTACTAAAAAATGCGTTCGGATTGGAAAATGGGGAATATCGGACCACCCAATTTTGCGGATTTTTTTGGGGATCGGGCATTTTAGTCAACGGAATTGGCTGCAATTGGTATTTTGAGTTCTCATTGGGTGTCAAACCTTCCGATTAAAAAATTATCAATATTGGTCGATTTTTTTAGGGTAGCCCCTATATAGCGGAACCTCGATAATTTCGTTATTTTGGGGAGCTTGGACAGGGTTTCCAACCAAATCAGCTGTAATTTGGTATTTTGGGTTCACATTGGGCAACAAATTTGTCTACTAAAAATGATCAACATTGGTCGAGTTTTTAGGGTACAAGGGTACCAACCAAATATCGGTGTTTTGGGGAGCTTGGACATAATTTTCAACCGAATTTGCTCTAATTTGATATTTTGGGTTCGCATTGGCTAGCGAATCTCCCTACCAAAAATTATCAATATCGGTCAACGTTTTGGTATAGCTCCCATATAACGATACCCATAAATTTCGGTATTTTAGGGAGCTTGAGCTTGTTTTTCGGCCGATTTGATTGTAATTTGGTATTTCGAGTTCTCATTAGGTAACAAGTCTTCCCAATAAAAATTATTAATATTAGTCAACTTTTTAAGGTAGCCCCCATATACGGGTACCTCCGATATTTCGATATTTGGAGGAGTTTGCACAGAATTTGCAACCGAATCGGTTTTTAATTTGGCAGTTCAGATTCTTTCAAAAATGATACAAGTTTCAGTTCCTTTTAAAAAATTATTAATATCTTTTAAAAAATCCAAGTTTAGGAACCCCTAAAATGTTCCTTTAAAAAATCCGCGCCTTATAGAACCTCTTAACCCTCATAAAAAATTTGGTTATTTTTAAAAAATCCACGGGGGCTTGAGCACGTTTTCCAACCGAATAGACTGTTATTAGATATTTTGGGCTTCCATTGAGTAGAAAATATCTCTACCAAAACTTTTAAAAAATCCACGCCTTATAGGAACCCCGTAAAATGATCTTTTAAAAAATCCACGCCTTATAGGAACCCCGTAAAATGATCTTTTAAAAAATCCACGCCTTATAGGAACCCCGTAAAATGATCTTTTAAAAAATCCACGCCTTATAGGAACCCCGTAAAATGATCTTTTAAAAAATCCACGCCTTATAGGAACCCCGTAAAATGATCTTTTAAAAAATCCACGCCTTATAGGTGCCCCTCAAAAAAAAAAAAAATTAAATAATTTTTAAAAAATCCACGCCTTATAGGAACCCCGTAAAATGATCTTTTAAAAAATCCACGCCTTATAGGAACCCCGTAAAATGATCTTTTAAAAAATCCACGCCTTATAGGAACCCCGTAAAATGATCTTTTAAAAAATCCACGCCTTATAGGAACCCCGTAAAATGATCTTTTAAAAAATCCACGCCTTATAGGAACCCCGTAAAATGATCTTTTAAAAAATCCACGCCTTATAGGAACCCCGTAAAATGATCTTTTAAAAAATCCACGCCTTATAGGAACCCCGTAAAATGATCATTTAAAAAATCCACGCCTTATAGTAACTCCGTAAAATGGTCTTTTAAAAAATCCACGCCTTATAGGAACCCTTCACCACTTTATAGGAACCCCGAAAATATCTTTTAAAAAATCCACGCCTATAGTAAAATGATCTAAAAAATCCAGACGTCGCCTTTTCTAAGGAACATTGACATGAAATTGAACGAACTTAAATATGCGATCATTATCTATAATTAAACTGACTAACATAAATTCCAACACATGCCATTCTGCAACCTATTCTAAATTTTGTAAATAGCACACATCATTCTGGAAGTGTCAAATTTCGTGCAAATCTATATAGGTTTTGCACCATTTACCTTAAATCGGACGAGACTATATATGGGAGCTATATATAAATCTGAACCGATTTTCTAGAAACTTGGCACACATCATTCTGGAGCTAATTCAGTACACTATGCCAAATTTTTAGCAAATCGAAAGATATATAGGGACTTTTGTACACCATTTACCTTAAATCGGACGAAACTATATAAGGGAGCTATATCTAAATCTGAACCAATTTTCATGAAACTTAGCACACATTATTCTGGACCTAATTAAGTACTCTGTGCCAAATTTCGTGCAAATCGAAAGATATATAGTGACTTTGGTGCACCATTTACCTTAAATCGGACGAGACTATATATGGGAGCTATATATAAATCTGAACCGATTTTCTAGAAACTTGGCACACATCATTCTGGACCTAATTCAGTACTCTGTGCCAAATTTCGTGCAAATCGAAAGATATATGTGGGCTTTTGTAAACCATTTACCTTAAATCGGACGAAACTATATATGGGAGCTTTATATAAATCTGATCCGATTTTCATGAAACTTAGCACACATCATTCTGGACCTAATTCAGTACACTATGCCAAATTTCGTGCAAATCGAAAGATATATAGGGACTTTGGTGCACCATTTACCTTAAATCGGACGAAACTATATATGGGAGCTATATCTAAATCTGAACCGATTTTCTCGAAGCTTAATACTATTTTGGACCTAATTCAGTACACTATGTCAAATTTTAGCAATTCGAAAGATATATAGGGACTTTGGTGCACCATTTACCTTAAATCGGACGAAACTATATATGGGAGCTATATCTAAATCTGACCCGATTTTTCCCATTTTTAATAGGGTTCGTCCTTGGGCCAGTTAAGTGACCTGTGCCAAATTTCATCCAAATCGGATCATAAATGCGACCTCTACTTTGTTGGACGGACAGACGGACATGCATAAATCGACTCATATTATCAAAAAGAACCATATTCTCAAAAGGAACCATGGGTCTATCTCGATTATTTTGCCTGTTACAAACATATGCACAAAGACATGGTGAAGGGTATAACAATTTTTCGTATTCCTGCTCATAAGTGGTTGTTCTTATTTTCCTCTCTTTAAAGTGTTTTTTCTTTTAAGTATCACGTCTCTTTTAATTTTGTTTCTCTTTGCGATTTCATCCTTAATTTTCGAAAGTATTTAATTCAATAATTTTGTGTCGATTTTTTGTTGTTTTATTTTTTTCTTGTTAATTCATCCGTAATAAATGTTTTCGCTTATGTTTTGCGCTTGCACTTTTCACTTTCATACAAAAACGAACGAACCCAAAAACACACACAAAAATACTTGTTTGAACATTCGGAACACACTTCCGAATGGCTATTTATAAATAGCCTAATTTTTGTATTTTTTTTTTGTCGTAAGATGCTGCTACAAGTTGGTATCCCGCACGGTAATGAGGTCCCCCATTCTAACGTTGCGGGGGTATAACCGAACACATTTTTCTTGGATTTTTAATATTTGTATATTTTTTTTTTTTTTTTTGAAAATTATATCATACTTTTTTCGAAATATTGAATTTTATTTAATATTTATTTGATTTTCTTAATTATTTTTTTTAAGTAACGATTTTATTTGCCGTTTTCTTTACTCGTTTCGAAATATCTATATATATATACGTTTTCATTTCAAAATTATTTTTCTATATTCAAAATTTTTGTCTTCTTTCTTTTTCGCACAACATATTTCGTTTCTAGTGGCCCAGAGATAATTACGCGCTCGCATCGATGTCTAAAAATGAACTGTTTTGAGTGGTTCTCATATTTTTGGCTATAACCAAACTGGCTGGCAAGCAGGCAACCAGTCAACCAGAGGTGGGCAACAACTGATCATTTTATTTTGCTGTCTGATCGGGATTTCTCCCTGTTCATATTGTGTGTGTGTGCCACAGGGGGGAAGAGAGTGAAATTTATGAATTGTGAGAGAGAGGAATTTATGAAACAAGAGAGTAATCTCAAAATTAACTGTTCTTCTCTCTGATTTTTACAATTTTGAAATTTTTTGTTTTGCGATTCTTCATAAACAAAAGAATCGGTGTTTTTTGTTGTTTTTGCCGTTACAACAAAGAAAAAGTAGTGGAAACTGAAAGAGGATACTGCCTTCATTGTCCAACAACAATAGCAACAAGAACCTGCAAATATTTTACATGCATCACATCTCTGTTCGCAGAACTCTTGATGCCGGTAGATTTTTGTACCTGCTCTTGCTGGCCGGCAGATCATTAACCCAGCTGAAGGACATGACCAGCCATTGTAAGTGGTTTAGGAAATTCGTAAGGCAAACAATAACAAACAAAAATTGCGGTATTGAGTAACAAAAGTTCAAACTCAGACAGGGATGGGAATTGGAAACCCAAAAATATAGTTTTAAAAAGCCAAAAACATATTTTTTTATTGGAGACTCAAAAAAATAAAAAAAAAAAAAATTTTTTAAAAATTACAAAAAAATATTTTTTAAAAATCCAAAAAAAAAAAAATTCAAAAAAAAAAAATAAATCCACTCCTTATTGGAGACTCTAAAAATATTTTTTTTAAATCCACACCATAAGGCGAGAAATTGAAAAAAAAATATTTGTTCAAACAAAAAAAAATATTTTTTTAAGAAATTGAAAAAAATTTAAAAATATATTTTTTTTCAAAAAAAAAAAAAAAAAAAAAAAAATATTTTTTCAAAAAATTGGAAAAAAATTGAAAAATATATTTTTTTCAAAAAAATTTTTTTTTCA